GGATGGTCTTTTCATTTCAGGTCACCTGTCCTAGACGGACCCAACCCCTGTGTTGAGTCCCCTAAGTCAAATGCACATGATGCAAACAAACGTTCCTACTAGGGATCCGGCATGAGGCTTTGTTATACTAGGTTTAAAATCTGGGTTTATTGTTCTAGACCTGGCTTACCCGAGCGGACAACCGAGCCGAGGGGGGCAGTATACCGGGGATACAGAAGCTCCGCCGGCTTAGCAACTTGTCCAAACCTCGTTCTAAAATGGGATAAGACTCTAAACAGAAGAGAAGTCACACGAAGTGCACCCTTCTCCATGATGTAGAAAACTTAGAGAGAGGAAGGGTTTCGTAGCAGTTTATATATACAATTCACCAAATATCAAACCAGTAAAGCATTTAGCATGAAACGTGTAGAAAAATCAGATAATAAATAAAGCCAATCATAACAGCTACTCTAAGCTCGAATTCTTAAACCCTGAACCGAAGTTCTGGGTTTGGATCCCCAGCAGAGTCGCCAGAGCTGTCACACCTCCTTTTTTCATGCCTACCTGAAGGATAGCATATAAGGGAGTTTTTCCACTTTAAGTGACATTATTCAAAATGGGATTATTTATTCAATTCAGAGTCGCCACTTGGGATAGGTTTGGCTTTTGGTGTCCCAAGTCACCGGTTTATCTTGAATCCCAAATCGAGGAAAATTTCGACTTTCCAAGTGAAGTCTGCGAACCAGAAATTCTGACTAAGGAATCCTGTTGACCCGGGGGAAGGTGTTAGGCACCCCCGGATCCCGTGGTTCTAGCACGGTCGCTTAAACTATCATAATTCGCCTAATATCTGATTTTAAAACATGTTCATCCTATAGTGCAATTTAAAGTTATTTACCGCTTTTAGTTAATTTTTATGGAAGATTGAACGTCGTTTAAAACGCATTTTGGGATCACGTCACATGAAATGCACCCGTATCCGAAACACATTTTATTCAACATTTTAGGATTTGAATTTGGGTCACATAAAATGCGCACCCGAGTTTAAGAAGGTAATATTATCAAAAGACGAGCCTAAAGCAACTAGCGTGTTTATATCTTTGCGGGAGGCCATGAAAATTCGCTAAATGGCACGTCCCGAGTTCTAAGTATTTTAATGGAAGTATTTAAAGAGGGCCTCGCGATTTATGGTTTTTATTTGGCGTGGCGCACCTCAATTTCATTTTTTAAGGATATTCGACTAAAATTCGGAAAGTGTAAGAACCTTTATTATCTAAATTGGCTCGATTCTTATTCTGTTTAAGAGGTTTACATAGCTGGCCTTAAAATGGTTAGAGGCTAATTAATTAAAAAAAAGCTCATCAAGAGGATGTATCTATCCTAAGTGAATTGGGATAGATTCTAGGCAAATAGGATACGGCCCATTAATTAGGAGGAAATGTCCCTCCTGGTCCTTCAGCATCATGGGCTCAATGATGAGCCCAATTTGTTGGCATGAGACATATACAAGCATACTATTCAAAGGCCTATGTGCCAAATATTAGCAGCAATTAAAGTCAGACTTATGTTAAGAGGGGCATATCTAATAAGAGTATCTTCAGAATGGGTCAAAACAAAGTTAGATTCGAAACAGGCCCAATAAACATCATATGGCAGACCACAGTATTCCTATTTTTTAAACTAAAACTTAAAACATAGATTATGCAATAACAACTACTGAAACCAAGCAAATTTTAAACAGCTATCCCTTAAACGATTAAGCTAACACTATCACTTGTTATTTCAAGCTTAAGCATGACTGTATCACCATACGTTCTGATTTCAAACTACAAAACCACAGACCTACTTAAGTATCCTTCATGCATATTTATCAATCACTGTTCACAGGAGTGTTCATTTACTATTACAAAACCAAGAGTCCAGCATTTTCTAGATAGCTAAATACAAGTTCAAATCATAGAGCATGGCTAGACATATTCAACAGGAGCACAAGGAACTATCTCATAACAGGAAAATAAGAGTGCAAAACAATTAGAGTCAATAGCCTTCTAATAATCAAACATGGTTTTTGTTCAAATTACAACTTGAAAATCAAATTCAGATATAATTCCAGACTGGTTCCAGCTTGTAGCATTTCATCTACGGAAAAGGGTCTGATCTATCCCTCTACTATGATAAATTGTTCAAAATTGTCCCCCGTTATACTATTGGGTCATAAAAGTCCCTGTCGTCATACTATCCTAACAAATCTGCCCTTAGTTAGACGGAAGTGCCACGTGGCATCTCCTCATCAAACGACCCACCCCCAATTTAAAAAAAACCCATCCAATATTGACCCGCCCAAGTTAAGACCCGTTACCTAAAGGCAAAAAGAGAGACATAACTTAAAAATATGGAAAACCAGCATTGTTCTTCATCTTTATTGATATTTGCTCAAAATTTCCAACCCAACTTCTTTGAATCTTAACCAAATTTGTTATAATTTGAGATTTAAGCTCCCCAAGAGATCCCTAACAAAACACAATAACATCAATTAGAAATAGTTTACATTTTCGAAAACTCAATTTTCGAGCTAAGATTCAGAGCTTTCATCAATGGAGTTTTTAGCTCTTGCTTCACGTACCAGCTTTCCAACAATGTTCTAAAAAATACTTTCAACAAGAAACATAGACATCTCAACCCTTCCAAAATTTTAAATCCAGTGTCCAATTGATATATCATCGTTCCCATCCTCTTCTTCTCCTTACTTTTCATCACCATATTCCCAAGAAATTACTGAATTGTGCGGAAGAAAATGGTTCGTCCGTAACTATTTTTACATATATTATAAAATAAAGGAAGATTAGAAATCAGATGCCAATCAAAAACATTTAATTAAAATTTAAGAAAAATGATAAGAAGTGTAGAAGGAGCCATCGGAAACCAAAGTTCATCCGCAAAAGCTTTTTTAAGCAATCACAAATTCACAACAGACCCAGTTGGGTGTTCTTCAAGCTTTTCCAAATAGTCCAATAGTGATTTTAGTTTTCCTTCAACTATATTTTCGCAAATCAGTAATCGAATAAAAACTTAAGCACAACAAATGATTTTTCCAAACAATTCTAACAATAGGTAACCAACAAACCCAGATTTCTGATTTTGAATTTGAAATCTGAAAGTTTTTCGGCTTAAAAAATTGAAATTAAAATCACCATAGGAAGTTAGATTACCTAAAACGATTACTTCCCCAACGCGATTATTAGAAATGGGTATTATTTGGTTTATAAATGGCGGGTCGCGGGTTATGGGTTTGGTGGGTTTCATGCAGCGGGTCGTCTCATATGTGCAAAGATGTTAAAAGGGCACGGATGGATGCCACGTGGCACTTCCGTCTAACTAAGGGCAGATTTGTTAGGATAGTATGACGGCAGGGACTTTTATGGCCCAATAATATAACGGGGGACAATTTTGAATAATTTATCATAGTAGAGGGATAGATCAGACCCTTTTCCGTTTCATCTGTCAGAGTGGAGCAGGTTCATGACGAGGTCTAGACGGCCATGGACAAGACTGCAAGATAGTGGGTCAGTGTGCTTGGTCATGGAAGGGACTGTCGGGCTTAGAAAATTAAGAAAAGGCAAGGAAGGCAGTGATGCAGAAATTTCGAGTTGAGGGGTGCCAAAATCAGTGTTGGGTTCTATCAAATTAAGTCAGCTGCATGCAAGATTTGCTGTGGGAATTACAGGCAGGAAAGGCAAATGAGAAAAAACGTTACACTTGAGGGCAAGGACAACGTAATTCTCAAAAGGGTGATGAACTTGTGATGTCTTTACAAATGGCGAGCATGTGTTGGAATTATTCGACGAGGGCATCGAATTCAACTGGTTGGGGTGGTTTGTTAGACCCTTGATAAAGCTGATCGGCAAAAGGCGCGGCAATGGCAAGGATTTGGCATGATGGCCTTGCCATTGGCCTATGTGTGGGGGAAATCAACATGCAAGACAATGCAGGCGTTGACCATGGCAACAAATTGTTGCAAGGCAAAGTGTGACGGACTACATTACTATTTGAAGGCTAAGGTGTGAAGGACTACACTAAAGCACTAAGGGGCTGTGTGCAAGCAAAGGCCAAGGTCTTGATGGAACAAGGCGGGCTGGACGAAAGCATGACAAGGCAAACCGGGAAAGACCTAGGCGCTAAGACGAGGCGTCTTTGTGCCACGGCAGTGGTATTGGCAACTTGGTGTTGTCTTGACTTAGGTGAGCGGGCTGGCACCTAAGAAATTTGTGGGCAAATGACTTAGCAGGGGAAATGGCATCATGGCTTGGTGACTTGATGCTAATATCAGCTTGGCATTGGCAAAAGGCAGACTTGATCAAGTAAGGGCTATTTGACAGGAACAAGCGGTTGTGGCAGCGGGCGGGCGTGCGGCTAAGTCATGGGCGACAAGTTGTGGCTATGGCATTGGGGCGGAGCAGTGTCAAAGGGCAAGGCTGGGCTAAATGCAAGCCTTGGGCGTGCAGTAGCTGGCCGGAAACACGCACATGCAGCGCATGTGGAGCAGTTGTCAAGTGTGTTGTGCACATGATGTGCAGTTGGGCGGTTGCAACTGCCTTGTCCAAAGAGTTGCTGATAATGGGGCTAAGTCCATGCACGTTTTTAGGCATGTTTGAGCATAACATACACATTTTTTATCATGAGAGATCATGGCCTATCAGTTGGGGGTGTCAACTAAAATGGGCTAACTACACTATATATATGTGTGTTAGCAACCCCAAAAACGAGTCTAAGTACCTAGGGAAGGAAATAGGCAAAGATTTAGGCATAGGGTTGTCTATGTCAAGGCTTGAGCATGGCAAATTATGTGCCATTGCCTTTCCAAAATCAGTGAGAAGCATGAAATGCCTTAGGCAGGGGCTTTATAGGGTAGTTTGTACAAAAGTCGGCAATTTTGTGAGTTGGTGTCTGCCAAGGGTGGCAGCACCTTGCCAAACTCGAGATTTTCGTTTGTAATTCGTTTATTATAAATGGTTGGGAAAGGGTTCCCATAAATCTGCTTGAGCCTTTATTTATTTATGTTTCCTTGAAATTATTCTAAGTGCCAAATCTCGAAAGCGAAAGAAAATCGGGCAAAGGCTGAGCCAAGTATGGACTTGACTGCCGCACAGCGAGCAGTGTTTTCGAAGGACAAAAAATGCCCCTGTGACACCGTCCACCCCTTCATTAACCTAGGAGAAAAACCCTTCTTCTTGACCACACAAAACACCATAGCCGCCACCCTAAAACGACCACCCTCTGTCGCCGGCCATCCACTGCCCCTCTTCACCACCCCATATCCTGTCGTCATCCTCAACCAAGAGAACATTATCAAACCTCCATTAACCTAGACCAGCCGCATCATCCTCTCCAAGACCCTCTGCCTCCAGCAACTCCGCCAAAATACGCATTCCGCCGCCGCACTCCACCAAAGAAAAGGCCTCCACTCCACCCTAAAAAAAAAACCCGCCGGAAACCTAGCACACCCTACCCTTCTCGATCTCCTAACGGCACCCTCAACCTCCTCTCCAAAACCTCACAGCCGCAACACACACACACGCGCAGTAAGGAGAAGAGGAACGATTTGCTCCATGAAATCAGTCCCCAAATACTCTCACCCTCTTCATCAATTTTTCACTAAAATTACATCTCTATTAACCAAAAATCACACTATGTAGACCACCTGCGGTCAATGTTCTTTCGCCAGAAAACTCCGTTAATGCTGCTCACAAACCTTCTTCCAAAAGCACTAATTAACACCCACAAAACAAATTACTGATTTCTTGAGTTAGAGTTTAACAGAGGTCTTCGTTCGAGGTTGCGGATCCGGGTTCCGGTCGTGGTTTATTCTTTTTCTGGTCATATTTCAATTGGAATTCATTGTTGCATTGACGGCTAGATCGGATCATTTGGTACATCTTGCTGGAGGTTAATTAAAATTGGAGAAGTTCTTACTTTAATTGAGGTCCATTTCTTTTTCTTCTCCTAATTTGACATTTTTTTTCAGTCCTTGCTTTAATCAATTTCTCTGATTTGCTATTATATGTGCGTAATTTATTTATTAGTTAATTTCATTTGATGAATATCCGGATATAGGCTATCTGTTCGTATAGTTCCTAAAGTGTGTTTGTTGGGATGAGAATGTTTGTGCAGAAAAGTGATCCAAAATCGACGAAGGATAGATTTGGTAGCATGAACTGTTAAAGAGTTATATGGCCATGGGGTTTGGGGTAATACTAAATGAAATCAAATATTACGCCCATGAACAATTTGTTTTATTTTATCTTGTTTGCTTAAAGTCGGTAGGAGCATATTTAGGCCGTTAACACTCGGGTAGGCAAACCTTAGGATTTTTTTATTCGAGTTGGGAGGTCGCTCCCTTTTAGTTTATTATCCAGGGAATGCCCCCCGAGATTTGTATATATTTTTATCCGGAATATGCCCCGAAGTATTTGTATTTGGAGGCCGAAAATAGAACTCGTAGTATTTTTATTTTTATTTTTATTTTCATTTTTCTTTTATTAGGTGGGAACGACCTCGAGCCTCTTGTATGTTTATTTTTCTTTTCTGTATTTATTTTTACCTCAAGTTGAATATTTTAAAAGCCAACTAGATTGACTATGCAACCATGATTTTCACGGGACTCGGGAAATGCCTAACACCTTCTCCCTGAGTCAAATGAACCCCCTTACCTTGAATCTCTGGTGCAGTCAGTTTTAGAGTCAAATGTGTTTGAAAAAAGAAAATCCATTTATTAAAAAACGGTGACTCGACACACCAAAATCAAACTATGTTGAGTGGCGACTCTGAAAAATTTTTCGTAACACAATTTTTTTGTCACTTTTGTTAATTGAAACCCTTTTCGAGCTTCAAAAAATCATTTTATTATTTTTAGGAGGTTTAGTGAGGTGAAAAAGGGGGTGTGACATTATTTAGAATATTTTATGTTGGATTAATTTTTGAATTCTTTCAACCAAATGATCACTAGTGGTCAAAAATACAAATGTGACATTTTTTTCTTCTTTAAAGTTCAGAAATATATATATATGTTATTTCTTTACTAGTTAAATCACAAAAACATTATTTCAACTCAATATCTAAGTTTCAGATTCTATAGTGAGACAAATTAGAATTGCCATCAAGTCCTTTCTGGCTAGAATATTCAAAGAAGTCCTTCATTGTAGTTTCTCTATATTTTGGAGGATTGCCTTCTGATAATAGCTCCTTAATTGGTCCATAAATCCTAGAAGATGCCAATGGCCCTGTGCCGAAGAAACTTGCTACTGATATTCTTGGACCAACTTTATTTGCCAACACTCTGTGCTCTATGCTTTTGTACTTGTCATTTGATATGAGCTAAAACCATTAAAAAAAATGGCGTATTAAAATTGTTTAAAAGAAAGATTTATTTGATATTAGCTGAAGATCAAAACTTATATTGAAAATAGAAGGATAATTTCATGGATTATCATCTATTCAGTCTGTCGCATCAAAGTCGCAAAACTAACTTTTATAACAAGAAAATAACTCAACTATACATATATAACATTAAAGTAAAAGTTCCAAAAAATGCTAGTAATTTCAATTTTTAAAAACACGAGTAGGTCGTCATAAGTATATAAAATTGCTATGTAAATATGTCACGTCAGCAACTCACCGTGCATAACCAATTAGGTGACAACTTTTAAAAATAAAAAGTTTATTTTTCGACCCAACCTAGCTAATATCCAATATTCTTCCACCATGTGGCACATCATTGGGTTTTTCTATTTTTTTTTTTTTCTTAAGCGAGTAGAAAAATATTTTTTTTTAAACTTTTAAAGTGGTAGGTCACTA